TATCTCAATGTTTAGAGAAATTTTAGAAACATTGATTTATAAAAAAAATAGAACTATTATAAAACGTGAGAAATAAACTGTATCAACTATCGTTGAAATCATTTGTTTATCTGATACCTGATACATTTTTGTAGAAAATGATCTATTCGCCCGATTGTTTCACCCAGCGTTTTTTGCCCGTAGAACGCAACAGAAATTCCAATATATCAGTTCCGAGTAAAGCAAAAGAGCGTTCCGAAAGGTTCGGAACAGACATTTAAATGCCGAGCGCCTTAAAGCACAGTCTAAAATGTAGAAAGGCCAGGTGGATTCCCAATTTAGCGTTGGTAGAAATTTTCTAGTTGTCTCGTCTTCGGGACACGCCGTGGCGGTACGGTAGTAATCCGTGAATAATATTCATAACGAATATCATTCGGAGCAGGATGCTGAAGCTTCTGTAAGTAGATTATGACTCTGCTGGTTTGCGGCCAGACCGTGTCTCACCTGTTAACCTTGCGTCGGTGTCGGAGAGCAAAACGACGACTGACTTTTCTGCGGCTACGACAATTAGAAAACTCGAGTGGCGTCACGAGCGAGAGAATAATTTTATCCTTAACTACCATTTCCGGTCCGCGAGACCGCTGCTAATTACACTATTCATCCGTGGAGATGATATAATTGTAAGAAAAATTGTAAAAAAAAAACAGAGAACGCTTTTAATTTAAGTTTAATTTATTTATGTGTACGCGGTTGGACACTCGCTTCTATAATAATATAATAAATAACAAATAATACAAGAGTAATAATAATGACATAATTAATAATAATAACAATAGTAATAATAATAATATAATTAATAATAATAATAACATAATTAATAATAATAACAATAGTAATAATAATAATAATAATAATAATAGTAATGACAAATAACCTTGACATACATTTAAATTGACAGAGTCAGCAAATTACAGTAATGTCTCCCTAACTGACGCTCAGATTGTCCATAGAAATGGATAATTTGGGAAGATTGATTATTCGAGCCTTGCAGTTCGTTTTTATAGTTACGAATTGTCAACAACTACAATAAAGACAAGATACAAGTCGAATAATCGTATCTTCTCTTCCCAAATTGTCCATTTTTGTGCGCAATCCGAGCGTCAATTAGAGAGACATCACTGTAGCTTGCAAATATTAAATAATAAATTGACTGCAAATATATCTATTTTATCGCTGTTGTTTGACAAGTTGAAACGATTCTTTTCGACTCCAGAGAGTGTATGTTCAACGAGGACATCGATGGACCGTAATTGCAGTCCAACCCGCGAAAGCGGTTGGCCCATTTTAAGGGCAAAAAAGCGAAGAAGTTTCCCGAATTTAATATCGACGTGTCCGCATTATAGACGCGCGAATCCAGGAACAATTCCGATTCCTCGTTTACCTCGTTCACGTGTCGATAACAACGCAATGGACTCGAACGGTCCGCGAATCGTTTTAACAGTTCGAGGTTAAAAAGTTCGATGAACACGTGTTCGGTCACGACGGTAGCCTGCGACGACAGGAGAGGTCGAACAGCAAGCAGTTGGTGGAAGGAAGGAAGTTGCGTCAGTGTCAGGAAGACAACAAGCGGAATCGAAAGCAGCCAGCCGCACAGAATGCCGGTGTCAGGAGGCAGTCGAACGAATGGGCATTGTAAGGTGGAGGGGTCGACCTTAGCCTTGGCCTCCACTCGTGCGAGACCCGTCCTCTATATCGCCCCCGGCCCCCCGTATAGCTAACTTTTGGCAATGTCAGCCGGGGGTCACGAAAATATTGCGCAGCGTCGCAGCCGGCTGTGTGTTCGTCATACTCGGTCACCGAGGAAAACGATCTCGAACCGCGGTTGGATTATGCAATGCGATCTGTTGCGTGCACTCGAGCCGAGGATCGACCTCCACCCAATCCGCAGTACCAACATTTTCATGATAACTTCATTCCGCCATTGAATCATCTTACTCGGTGCTACAGAAATATTCTGTAGCAGGTTCTTGCGCAATCGTTTCACGAGAAATTTTTGTAATCGATTTGATTGCAAATCTATGAATTGTTTGCGCTAATTGGATGTAGAATTTATTCTACGTAGAAGTTGTTTTTGTACGTTTTAATTTTGTCGTAGAGAAACATGATAGTTCTTCGTTATTTTTCGATGACATCAACCTGCTGCTGCAACCTGCATCAACATTCGCTGCTGCACATTAATCGTTCCAGAGTCCACCGACTTCTTTCTTCCTTATATTCTAGATTTGGTTAAATTTCTTATATTTGTATATTGTATTTATTATGTTTTATTATATTTATTATTTTGTGCTTGTATGTTTTTCCGTGTGTAGGGTGTAGTCCGGTATTTGAATGAATGTAATAAATTCAATTTAATACATTCAGTTCAATGAATTCAATTCAATAAATTCAGTTCATTAAATTCAGTTCATTAAATTCAGTTCATTAGATTCAGTTCAATAAATTCAATTCAATAAATTCAGTTCATTAGATTCAGTTCAATAAATTCAATTCAATAAATACAATGCAATAAATTCAGTTCATTAAACTCAATTCAATAAACTCAATTCAATAAATTCAGTTCATTAAACTCGATTCAATAAATTCGATTCAATAAATTCGATTCAATAAATTCGATTCAATAAATTCGATTCAATAAATTCGATTCAATAAATTCGATTCAATAAATTCGATTCAATAAATTCCATTCAATAAATTCGATTCAATAAATTCAATACATTCAATAGTGACGAAATCAGGATCGTATGTTTTACTCCAATAACTACAAACGTGTATAATTCAATTACACGCCTAATACAAAATCAGGATACATTATTAATTTCTCCCTTCACCCAAGCTGTTCTCAAATAACCCAATTCTCCGTGAAACATACTCTTTACAACTCTTAAAAACCCTCGTCCGGAAAGGGTTAAAACAATTCTCGGCGCTCTCTAGGATCGTGAGAGCCACTTCTCTCCCTATAAATCGGGCGAGTGAATTTGATCAAGGAAAGTTCGCGGGGGCGTACACCGTGTCGGTTCACCGCCGAAATTATCAAACCGTTCCTCTCCGGTCCGTATCACGTAAATGGACCGATCTCGAAGTTTCCTCCCCATCGATTCGAAGCGTCGAAACTTCGTCGGCCGTCGCGACGCGTCGCGGCGCGGCGTTGACTAGGAATCGATTCCCGACCCTGTCGCGGCGTCAGTATCCGTTATCGAGTTCCACGTCTGCCGCAGACTCGATGGAATCAGACATCGAGATCGCTCGCGTGTAAAAGTTTCGCGTGCACACGTGTGCGTCGCCGTATGCTGTGTCTCGTGTACGGATCTCGCCGAAACTATCGGTCCGAGTAATTTCGAGATTCCCGTGGCATACAGGCGGATCCGATACTCGACTACTCGCTCGTCGAATCGTTTGCATCGGGATCAAGGATAACGCGTTCGAGGATGGATTCTCCGGGGGTGGTTTACGTCGCTCGACTCTGTTAGGTCTTTTTCAGGGGAGATACACGAGTACATCGGGCTTTGGCGAGGCTCCCGTGCCCCCCTCTCTTCTCTCTCTTTCTTCCTCTTTCCCTCTTTTACTCTCTCTTTTCTTCTTCTCTCTCTCTCTCTCTCTCTTTCTTCCTCTTTCCCTCTTTTACTCTCTCTTTTCTTCTCTCTCTCTCTCTCTCTCTCTCTCTCTCTTATTCTCTCTTCTCTTCTCTCATCGGCTCGCAAGGATAAACGCGCGAGTCCTGAAACGCGGCACGAGGGTCGCGCGACACTCGTAGGGTTATCAACCGAGGGGTTCGAGGACGGAATTATTATGTATCACGAGGAACCCCGATTTTTTTCCCCGGAAGATTTTAAAGGGATCGTTTCGAGCGGGAACGGCAACGTTGGCGCTGAATAGGGACCGTTTCGGCCTGTAATTCCCTGATACGACGTGTCTCGAGCTCTCTTTTCCACCTCATAGCAAGACTTGCTGTTTGCGTTCCGAGAGAATAACAGGCACCTCTCTTTGATCGCTAACGAGGAAAATGAGGAGACCAGAAAAATCCGGTCTTCGCTTAAGCTTTCGTATAACATCTCGCCTGAGAATTTCTACACCTAAAGGATACTTTTGCACTGGCTATGCTTAAGGGAGGATCAGCAAATGCCCATAGAATTTTAAACACGTATTTTTGTAATGACAATGTTCTGTTTGCTAACAATGTTCTTCTATAAATTTATCGTACTTCATTGTTGCATTAGTTGCATTAGTATAAATAAATATGCCTCCGAATGGACACAAAATGACGCTGTTTTAAGCAGACGTTAACACTAAACGTATTTATTATGGTAATTATTTTACGTAACGTATTACGTATAATATATGATATAATATTATATATTATACATTATACATTATATATTATATATTATATATTATATATTATATATTATATATTATATATTATATATTATACATTATATATTATACATTATATATTATACATTATATATTATACATTATATATTATACATTATATATTATACATTATATATTATACATTATATATTATATATTATAATATAATATATATAATATATAATTACTATAGTAATTAACACTAAATGTACTATAAACGGTCAAACGACCGGTTTCCAATTCCCTGTTGTAGGACGATTGAAATGACAAAGTTGCTTTCACGGATAATTATCGATTTTCTCGATAGCATAGCAAGCGTATATTCTAATAAAAATTGCACGATGTCTAAATATAAACGCAATCTCGCAACTTTTACAAAACCAGATAAACCAGTCGCTTTTAATGCTTGGCACGTTCAATGCTAAGCGTCCTAAGATTAAAAAGACGTTTCGCATCGGTGGCATTTTCATTTTACTGAACAATAAAACGAATATCCAAGAACTGGAAATACAGCCGATCCTATATCGTTCGTCAATCTGATCCATGAGATTGCTCGTGCCTGAAATGGAACTCTGTTCGTGTGTTAACAGGCAAAGCTGCGGCGCGAACGGCATCTTCTCACGCCGCCTGGACTTCAGCGCGTTCAACAGCCTGCCCCGCACCAAGCTGAACTCTTATCACATCAAGGTGAGTGCCGAACCAATTGATGCGTTTCTGTTCGAGACACTGTCCCAGAAGCCTCTTTCTGCGGACCGGCGCGCTCTAGAGAGCGAAAGTTCTATATACATAGTAACCCGGCTAGAGCGGGTCTGCCGGAGAAGCTACGCGCGGCCTTCCTTAAAGCGGAAGGCTCGCGGTAGAGCAAGGTCATGGTGGAATAGCGAGAGATATCCTCCTGCTTTAATCCGCCGAGGAAAATTCGCCAGCTCCGTGTCGCGCTTTCACCTAATTCCGAAACCACCGGTATCGAATTTATTGTCCGCGCAAATGAATCTTCATTATCCGTGCTAATGAATTATTATCACCGGCACCGATGAATTTTCATTGTCTGCACCAGTGAATTTTCGTTATCTGCACAAACGAAGTTTTATTATCTGAAAAAATGGACTTCTATTATCTGCGTAGAATGAATTATTATTATCTGCGTAGAATGAATTATTATTATCTGCGCGAATGAATTATTATTATCTGGGCGGAACGAATTTTTATTTCCCGCAATTCTGCATTTTCGGAGGCCATCAAATCCGGGAACCACGTCGAATTAAATGCGATCTGGCACGAGTGTCGCTGGTTCACAACGTGGTCCGCCGTTTCTTCCCCGATGTTTGTTTCTACGGTTCTCCGGTTTATACACAAAAGAACGCCGATAAAATCGTTTCGGCGTCAGCTTCGGGGTTTGTTTGCGGCCGGAGAAGCGTGTCGCGCCCCTAACCGTCGTCCTTGATCCAGATACCGGGGAGACCGTCTGCGTCACGTGTGTACCCGCCACCGAGATCTCCACGAAATGATCTCTCACGCGAGCCAGACGCTCGTTTTTCTTCCTCTACTTCGCAGGATCGCCTTACTGCTGGGACAGCGGCGAGCCCTTTCCTGCTCTCGACGTCGTCCTACCCCAAATCCTGGCGGAAAATCAATAGGCGTGTCGCAGTCACTTTCCCATCCCCGCGAACTGTTTGGAAATTGCACTCGATTGGTTCGTGAAATTTCGATCTTAATTCGTAGCTCAATCGCGAGCTGAATCAATCTAAAATGATACTTCTTCCCGCCGGAAAATAGTCTTTAGGTTAGGCTCGAATTTTTCGTCGTTTCGTCCCTCTAGCCCTTTCGCTACGGGCGGATTTTCCGCCGCGGCACTTCTGCTGAACGGCGCGCTGCGACATCACTGCACGCTAGAAGACGCCGATCGTTGCGGGGGTACCGCAACGGAGAAAACCCGCCCGTAGCAAAAGGGTTAATGCAAATAAAGTTAAACAAAATTGATAAAAATAAGGCAGATCTATTTATCCGTTGTTGAGAGAAAAATAAGGTGAATTATCTTTCTGCAGTAAGCACTGACTTTATTCGCTACAAACGATCGAACTTATGGAAGGACATTATAGTGGCCCGTAGTACCTCGGTGACATCTTATGGAGGGCCACTATAATGGCCCGTAGTACCACGGTGGCATCTTATGGAGGGTCACTATAGTGGCCCGTAGTACCTCGGTGGCATCTTATGGAGGGCCACTATAGTGGCCCGTAGTACCACGGTGGCATCTTATGGAGGGTCACTATAGTGGTCCGTAGTACCTCGGTGGCATCTTATGGAGGGCCACTGTGGTGGCCTGTAGTACCTCGATGGCATTTTATAGAAGAGGGCCACTATAGTGGCCCGTAGTACCACGGTGGCATCTTATGGAGGGCCACTATAGTGGCCCGTAGTACCACGGTGGCATCTTATGGAGGGTCACTATAGTGGCCCGTAGTACCTCGGTGGCATCTTATGGAAGGCCACTATAGTGGCCCGTAGTATCGAAAGGGCTAGTTGTCTAGTTTCAAAATAATAAGTTTAAGGGTTAAGACGTTTGTCGAACCTTCCACAAATTTATGATAGCACCGTGTACGGGTGGCGTGGCCCAAGGGTCGGAAGTTTCGGCAGTTTCTTGGCCTCGTGGGGCCGAAAGAGGATTAGGATCTGCGACGCCAGGCACTTTTTGAGGGTTAATCGTCGCCGTGCGAACGGGGAGTGGGCGCGTTGCGGTAGGTCGATCGATGGGGTGGAAGGGATACAAGCCAGATACGAGGCAATATAATGGTCCGCGCCGCCGCGAAAGTGGAAAGAATTCTTTTGATGTTCCTTGGCAATGATTTACGACGGTGTCCCGCGGTTTACGGGCCTCTTACATGCGCGGGAGACCGCAGAAAGAGTCGTCCCCGACGCTATTTCACCGGCGAGTGTAATTTCGAACGCGTCTCCCCCTCCACCCCCCTCCGCCGTAGTAACACTTATCCGTTTCGCCGACTAGCGTAGCGTTTTATGTGGGTCACGCCGGCGAACCGCACGGATTTAACGCACTTGGTGGCACAATTTCGGGCATAAACAATTGCGTCCGAACTGTTCTCGCGCGCGGCCAATCGCAACGCGAGAGGCTGAACAGCGTTCTTCGTGTGTGTGTGTGTGTGTATGTGTGTCTGCGTTGTTGTAACAACACCCCTCGTATTTTCCATCACGTTCGTCTACAGAGGCCGCATTTAAATATAGTTACGCGGCCGGCGTAATCACATAAATAAATAAAACGGACGCGGGAGAACAGCTGCAGCGAGAGACATTTCGATATGCGAGTTAATGCGCGCGGACCACGGGGTCAGCTTGTAAAGTGCTTTTTATGAATATACATCGGCCGGCGAACGATGTACCGATGAATGACCGCGGCTTGTGCCTGCCTGTCTGCCTGCACGCCGTCGTTCGTGTTCTCCCCGACACGATTCAAAACGCGTTGCCCGCAATTTCAGTTTTCCCGGTCGTCGTGTCGAATGAGGGAAATTGATGGATTACAAATTGATTTAACGACGCGGTTGCACGACCGGTGTAAATTCGAACGATAACGAGGCAGATTACGGTCGCGGGTCGCGCGTGACCGAATTATAAGGGGATGACGATGACGTCGATCCCTCGGCGCATCAATTTTTACCGATGCAGCGCCCATCGTTTTGCAGTCTCGATTTTGTGATTTCGTGATTTCGTTAACGTTTTGCACGTTCCGTTGAAAGGATGAGACGGTCTTCGGGGGTTATTTTTTATTATATATATTTTTATTACACATATTTTTTGAACGAACGGACGTGCATTTTGTGGAACTTTTTTCTTACAGCGAAACTTCTCGCAATTGTCCGTACCTTGTTTATAGTAATTATTTATGCATCGATCGTCGAATCTTTATCTTCATGCTGTCAAGCATATTGTCGGTTATGTCGGTTTTGCAGTCCCGATTTTGTGATTTCGTTACGTTTTGCAACGGACGAGTATTTTATGGAACTTTTTTCTTACAGCGAAACTTCTCGCAATTGTCCGTACCTTGTTTATAGTAATTATTTATGCATCTATTGCCGAATCTGTCAAGCATATTCTCGGTTATAATACGAACACGTATTCCTTGCGCATAAGTGTGTTATATTAAATGGTAAAACGTGTAATAACTAACAATGAATTCGCAGTAACGCGAACAAATAATGTTTAACCTTCGCACTGCTGCAAACGTGTTTTTACGATATATCGTTTATTCATCTGGACGCATATTTACATTATTTACACAAGCGAGGTAAAATTGACTAGAACGAGAGATGCGTTTGTGGATGCGTTTGCACGAGATGGCGAATAAAATGCACCGTACCGCTGCAGCGCGCTGGTGCCAGTAAAAGTTAAATGCGCAGTGAAAAGGTTAAGAATGCAATGTGCATATTGCTAATAACCTGGTACGAGGTTCAATAGAGTAAATAAACGCAAAACAAATGAAGGAATTAACTCGTAAAAGACTTTGACGCTTATTAATGCTTATTAAGAAAAATAATAGATCCAACAGTGAGTGTAATTACGTAACGAACGCAATTAATTTGTATGTATTTACCTTTCCGGCAACAATATTTCGATCGATGTCGTTAGATTGACCAACGGTAAATTGATAACTGTATCTATTTTCTCGCGTCAATTATCCGGATAAACGATGTTCTAATATATTTAAATAATACTTTGAGCAACGTGCGCAAATATTTTTAGCAATAAAATACAGTAATTCTTGCCTAATTCGCGCTCAGATTGCGCACAAAAATTGACAGTTTGGGAAGAGGAGGTTCGTTTTTATAGTTACCGTTTTTAACAACTATATCAACAACTATATTAATAACTGTACTATATATATAATAAAATATATAATATTTAATAATAATATATAATAATATATATAATAATAAATATAATATATATAATAATATATATAAACGAAACGCAAGGCTCGAATAATCGTATCTCCTCTCCCCAAATTGTCCATTTTCGCGCGCAATCTGAGCGCGAATTAGAGAGAAATTACAATATGTACAAAGAGATATGCAAAGAAACGGCTCCTGTCGAAACGCCACGTGACAAAGCATCGAGAGCCGACCGACAAATTTGCCCACGAGAAAATCGCAATTGTATCCGCGATCATCCGGTAGAACCGTGTCCCCGGCAGCCCTCTTGCGTCCTCGACCTTCGAATTACCCTCCATTACCCAGAGCCGGTGCGCGCGACGCGACGTTGAAAAAAGAATGAGGATGACTGGCGGAATAGCCGGTTCCCCCCACGGAGTTCGGTAAGTGGCGGTGGCTCGAAACGAGCAACCATAACAGAGCAGCCACCCCATTATGCTTTTCGTCGGGAAGGACCTGCTGGTCGGTGGGGGAAACGGTCCGCCGAAAAAAACACCGGCCGCTCGAAAAAAGGGGGTTAATTTGCGACTCGTGCGGCGGCGGCGGTCCGAGGCTGGAATCGCCCCGCGCTCGCGCGCGCGCGCGTTTCACGACTCCGCCGCGTTCCGCATTTTGTAAAATACAGCCGGACGAGGGTGGCCGCAGGGTGGCGGCCCACGGGGCTGCTCTTTTTACGTCTGGCTCTTTCGCGTAACCTTTCATCGCCGCAACGGGCCTCGCTCTCTCCTCGCAGTTCTCGAGGAACGT